GTGTATATGAGTGTTTTGCCTGTGTGTACATTCGTGCATCACACCCACATCTGGTGCCTGTAGAGTCAAAAGAGAGTGCTGGATCCCCAGGAGCTGCAATTACAGACTGTTGTGGGTCACCATGCAGGTGCTAAGAATTGAACCTGGGTCTTCTGCAAGAACAAGTACTCTTAACTGCTGAGCCAACCCTCCAGTCCTGAAAGGCTTTCTTTGTAATTAGATTTTGTTGCAAAATTCTGTTTAAAAACTGTACTAAAGTTTCTTTGTGATATGACTTTACTTTTACTTTCTGATGAAAGATGCCACAGACCCAAACACTCTCTCCAGGACATGCTGACCTGCATCTGTTTGCCTCATAGGAACATGGGTGGAATGACAATGCACAGGCCTTGAGGGGAGCCACTCTGGACTCCCTGCCCTGCTCATCCACCAAGAGGAAAGAGTGGATGTCTTCATCCCAGCAACCACAGGAGACCAGACATCAAGTGTGAGTAAGTTGTCCAAGGTTACTCAACCAAGCAGTGGTCATCAAACAATATTCTGCTCACTAAACCCAGCAGGAAAGACACCCCAACAGGTGGTCCCAGCTCATCTACAGACCACAGAATTCACTGCTCCAATGTGACAGTTTCATTTCATGGGGATGATCAGCAAACCACTTGCCCTGAGCCAAGTTTAGCCCTCTCTTGCATCAATAAAGCTTCAATAGCACACATCCAGGCCCACATACATGCACATAGGCACATTTGTGGCTTATGGTGTGTGTGTAGTTGGTGGTGTGTGTGGCTTATGGTTGTGTTTATATGATTTATGGTGTGTATGTATGAGTGTGTACATATATGGGTGTGTGAAATTTATGGGTGTGTTTTATATAATTAGTGGTGTGTATAGTTTATGGTATGTGTGTGTGTGTATACACACACACACACACACACACACACACACACACACACGAGGTTTATGGATGTGCTTGTATGGTTTACTTGTGTATGCATATTCATATGGTTTACAGTATATGGTTTGGAGTGTATGTATATTGTGTGTTTTTGTGGTTTACAGTTCCTTCTTAGGTGTATGTTGAGAGGGGGTATGATTGCTTTCAGAATGTATATATTTATATTTGTGTAATTTATAAGGTGTGGGGATATGGGTGGTGTGTGTGTTTGTGTGATTTATGGTTGCTCCCAAGGTGTGTGTGTGTGTGTGTGTGTGTGTGTGTGTGTGTGTGTGTGTGTATGTATATGTGTGTGTGTGTCTGTGTGGTTTATGGTTGCTTCCAAGGTGGGGGGGGCGGTGTTTGTAGTTTATGGCTAGTCTAGTATGCAACTTCAGAGCTTACAGGTGTGTCACATACCTTCTGGCCTGAAAAGTCCCAAATTATTACTATCTGATCCTTCACGGAAATAAATATATATTGGTCAACTTCTAATTTAAAGAATGGTCTACTGTCTGAGTTTTGCTCTATTCTTCAAGTATTAGAATCCTCAACTAGCTCCTGATTCTGTTTGAATTATTTCACTTGACAAGGAGATTTTGGTAAAAATGGTTGCCAGTGTTCTACAAAGAAAAAACTCAATGGCTGTATTTGTGGTTCAAGTTAGAACCCTGTTTGCAATGGGTGCAGTGTGGGTATAGAACAGTTGCAGTCCTTGGAAAGAGCATTGTCACAAACACAGAACAAAGTGTGTAGGTGAAATGCAATGTGTTTCGCTCTGGAAGAAGTCTTTCATTCAAGGTTGAGCAGGCACCACTCCCTCCAGCATTCGTATTTGAAGAGTCTATCTATATTCCACCAGCCGAGCTAATCCTATTTTCACCAAAGATCCAGACATCATTTATTGGCACCTTGCTTTTCTCATAAATAGAAGCATGCCCTCTCTCAAGTTCCTTCACTGATACCTCTTGAAAACTAAACATCTGAAAAGAAATATGGTCTCCTGAACACTGATGTATTTTACACAAGGGTATTTTGAAACTAAATGCATACTACAATAACTTACAGCATATTCAGAATTGAAATCCAGCCTTCCAACGCCTCCTGCAAATGTCTGATCATTTGTGACACTTTCATCTCATTTTTTAAAAGCTTTTACTATGGAAAATTTCAAATATGCAAAAATGAAAGGCCAGTCCCCAGCCACTGGCTTCTACAAGTATCAGCATTCTGCTGTTTTCCAGTGGATCCCTCCCCTCCCAGCATTCTGTTTGCTATTTGTTAGAGCGTTTGAAAGCTGATTTCACACACCAAGTCATTTCACTCATGAATGCTTATTTCTGTTAGGGCTCTTCCTTTGAAGAAAAACATGATACCATTATCACCACCAAAATAATAAATAACAACTCTAAATGTTATCTAATATTCAATCTCACTTCGATGCCTTTTCTTTTCATAATGGTTCTGTTCAAGCAAGGATCCAAATATGACCACATACTGTGTGTTCTTGATTCGTCTCTTAGTTCTCTTTATATGTGCATAGAGCCCTCTCATTTCTCATTCATCCATCCCTGGTATATATTTAAATGCTAACTGGACGAACAGATCTTATCAACAGTGACACCTCTTCAGCCTCTGCACACTGTACGCAAACCTCGACATTCACAGGCCTTTGAATCCCTTAGGCAGACTCTTAAATGCCCTACCTCCTATCTGCAACCCCACCTGAAATCCAGAGTGAAGACTACCTCCCTCACTCATGCTCTCAGGAGAATTCAGATTGCTTCAACAAGCCAATCCCAGAAAAATCACATCTTTTCTGTGCTGCTCTGGCCTGGAGACGCTGAATGATTTAAAAGCAAGGCACCCACTCATCATGCCTTCCTTTTGAGATTAGCCAAACTTAATCAAGGATTACAAAGTAGATCAGACATGCCTCAGAATCCATTACTGTTATCAGTAACAATGTGAATTTGCACCTAGACCATTCAGGGCATGAGGTTATAAAAAGAATGACCAGAGTCCCTGCTCACAGGAACCTGACCTAAACCAAGAAGCAGCAAATCATTTTCAGTGGTTCTCAACCTGCGGGTTGGTTTGGGGGTCACATAACAGATATCGTGCATGTCAGATATTTACATTCTGATTCCCAACAGTAGCGAAATTACAGTTATGAACAGTTATGAAGTAGCAACCAAATTAGTTGTATAGTTGGGATCACCACAGCATGAGGAACTGTACTAAAGGGTTGCAGCATTAGGAAGGTTGAGAACCGCTGGTTAAGATAAACTGCCCAAGGAGACAACAGATAAAGGAGCACCCAAACTGACTGCCATGCCCCAACTCCTGGGTGAACAGTATTTGCAAGGTCACTCCACACAGTGACACAGGAGGCAGAGTGAACAGAATCTGCCTTCTTCACCATCTGTGCCACACTCTGAAGCCCAGTCTTATTTGTAAGACAGGCTAATCCCACTTACTTCCCAGAGTAGCAGCCAATATTTATTGAGTGCTTATCGTGCCCAAGGATTCGTGTCACCTTCTTTAGTGGTTCAATCTTCACAAAATCCCTCACTATGCAGCCCTGGCCAGCCTGGAACTCACTATGTAGAGTAGGCTGGCCTTGAATCCATACCATAAAAGACTTATGAGGTAGGCTGCTACTATTTTCATTTTGCAGATGAAATGACCAATGATGCTCTAGTGGTATGGTGACCTGCCCCAGATCATACTACAACTAAAATGACCCAGGACTTCACCTGAGGGCTGTCTGACACAAGAGCTAGGCTTCCTCACCACTGATTTTTATTTTTTCTTCAAGTGTCATGCTACATTAATAAAGTTGACACCTCCTGGGGAAGAGATAAAGTGTGCTCAACACTGCATGGTCTACCCAAAATTTTCAGTCAACATCGACTGTTATCACTAGGGATGTGAAAGCAGGAAGGGAAGAGACCAGGACAAGTAACCAGGAAGCCCCAGTTGACTTTGGCTACTTTGGGGATTTGTGCTGGCATACACCAGCAAGTCTCCCTGGGTTTGGTATTTTTCCAATATATCTCTGTGCTCCCCTCTGGTCTGTGAGGGAGATCCGGTAAACAGTGGCTGTTTCTAGTTCAACTTTGTTAATTCAGAAACCCACCAAATGGCCTGGGCAGGAAGAGGTAGGCACTGAAAAAATGTGTTGACTAGAAAAGTCAAAGCTTCATTCATTCACTAACCACAAATTCGAACTTGCACTTCGAAGGAGGTATCTCAGATACTTACTGTCCCTTAAAACAATTCCAGAGAAAAAGAGCAGGCTAGAAGGGTTAAGTGGAAGAGACCCACTACGAGGGAAGCAGGGGGCTCCAAGGGGAGATGGAGCTGGGCCCACAAATACAGTGGGGCTCCCACTGCCTAACTACTCGGGAGGTCCGTCCCAGATTGGGACTTGCTTTACTTCTCATCGCTCCCAGAGCAGCTAAAGGAGAAACTGACAGGAAGTCAAAGTTTCCAACAGACCGAAGTCCTGGCCCGGGAAGGAGGGCCACCTGAGGAAATGGGCTCGAGGTGGAAGGCACGACTTGAGGCTCCCGCCCCGTCTAAGTGCACCCTACAGTCCTCCGAGAGAGACCCAAGGAGGGGCGGGGCGCCCCAACTGTTACTTACAGTCATGTAAGTCATCCTGCAAGTCCACAAAGTACAGAGGGATCTCTGAAAAATCAAAAGACACACAAGGAGTTACGCGGGGCTGCGCGGGCGGCGAGTCCTGGGCTCGCGGGAGTGGGGGAGGGGAGCCGCTCGGAGACCCCGGAGCCTGGACCCACTCACCCGCCATCTTGGGATGGGCTAGAGGGCGGGGCTGGAGGCGGAGCGAGACCAAAGGTCACGCCCATCTTCCGCGCTCCGCCCACCCCCTTGGACCGACTCACCCGCCATCTTGGGATGGGTGGAGGTGGAGCTAGGGGCGTGGTAATGCCAAGATTACGCCCCACCCCGTTCCGCCCACTCGGCGGAGATGGAGCCGAGCTGGAGGGTGGGGCGACGCTGAGGCTCCGCCCCTCCGTGCTCCGCCTACCCGCCTGCGAGCCGCGAGCCGCCTGCCCCGCCCTCGCGGCGAAGGTGGCTGCCGAAGTGGGCGGGGAGGTCAGGTGACCCTGCCGGCGTCCCAAGATGGCGACGGCGGTGGCGCCCAGGAGGCCAAGGCAGCGCCCGGGCTGTTGAGGTGACTCCGCGGGGCAAGCTACGGGTCGCCCGGACTGAAGGGCGGCGGCGGACGCACGGCCGCCTCGCGTGCGCAGCCGGGGCTGGGCGGTGCCGCAGCGGCACCGGGGGATGCTGGTGCTGGGCCCGGCCTCTAACTCCTCAACTTAGGGCGGCGGCGGGCCCGCACCCCTGGTTCCCGGGCCATGGCGCTGAGGGAACTCAAAGTGTGCCTGTTGGGGGTGAGTGGCAGCGGGCCGGGCCCCGAGGGTGGCGGAGGCCAGGTGGGCGGGTCCCGGCATCCCAGGGCCCCTTCCACCCCTTCCCGCCCTGTGCGGGACGCCGCCCCCCCCCCCCCCCCGCAGACCCCTGGGGCGTCCGGACCATCAGGCTGTGCCCCACCCAAGGCCCCGAGGTATCGGGATGGTCCCCGGGCCCCAGAAAAGTGTTCTCTTTCCACCCCACAGTGAAGCAGCCCGCAGATAGTTTCCTTCCAACTTTGCGAGGGACACCTTTGAAGTTGGCCACGTCTCTCAAAGTTAACTCCTAGCGGGTCTTTAGGATTTTGTGAACGCCCTTAGCCTCCTTTCAGCAGTGTGGGATAATTTTGAACTTTTGGGACGTCTCTGACACTTCTGCAAGAGTTACTTTCCAAAGTTTACTCTTCTAGTACAGAAGGGAGGAGTTCATACCAGGAAGCCTCCAGAACTTCGAAGCTTCAGCTTCCGGTCCTCTCTTGGTAGTTTGGCCATTTCAAAGCCTTCTGATGGTCTCCTTCCTGAGTTTCTGTTTTAATGACTGACTGAAAAGAATTCCAATAAGTAGACGGGTTTTGCCCCTCCACTAGGGTGGGGCTAGGATTCATACGGGATTACTCAGGCCTAACTTGGAAACACATGGTTTCCTGGTATATGTTAAAAGGCCAGTGAGTTCCTAGCTTCCCACACGAAGCAGAAACTTGGGGTCTTTTTCTTTGTGCAGGGAGGAGGGCCATCCTAGTGACTGAACCTGAAACTTTGTACATGCTAGTCGAGCACTGTACCACTGAGCCATGTGTGTCCCCAGCTTGCTTGCTTCTATTTTGTAGCAAGATCTCAAGACTATCCTTCAAGTCGCAAGCCTTAAACTTGGAACCCGCCTGCCTCAACCTCCCAGATTTGCTAGGATTGCAGGCCTGTTCCACTAGGCAGGCGAGCTTGGGTCTTTCAAGAGGGTCTAGTGTTTCTTAATCTTAAAAACTACAAAATCTTTCCCCAGTACTTTTTATTTTTATGACAGTTTCTCACTGTGTAGCTATGACTGGCCTGGAATTCACTTTGTAGGCTAAGAGGTACGCCTTCGTATCACAGAGATCTGCCTGGCTCTGCCTCCCAAGTGCTGAGATTAAAAGCATACACTCCTGGGCCTGGCCCCAATAATACATTTTGAAATAAATTACTTCACTGACTTATTACAAAAGCCTGCTTTGTGTCCCTCAACTTATAAAATCAACAGATGAGGGGGCTTTTTCTAAAATTCCCCCACTTTATGCCACAAAGTGGTTTTGGGGGTCTGCAGACAGCTTAAATTTTCCTCCATCACCCATCTTACTCTCTTTCAGGATACGGGTGTGGGTAAATCGAGCATAGTATGGCGGTTCGTGGAGGACAGTTTTGATCCGAATATCAATCCAACCATAGGGTAAGAGAACAAGTTTATTTAATATACATCTCAGAGTGCATGGAAAGTCATTTCAAGCAAAAATGTGTTACTGGTATAACTCCTGTTGTCTTGAGCTCAGTGAAATTTTGAGTTGCTGGTTCTCCACATTTCCAAAATGACTTGGGAGAATACAATGATGTTTGCTGTGTCTTAAGAGAATTATCTTCAGACTTGGGAAATAAGAACTTCGAAATAGAAAAAGGAATCAGAGTGGACATAGGAGTTCACAGGCCCAATTACACCTTGAAAGAGGGTAAAGGAAAACACAGCCTGATACAGTTCTTTGGGGTATATCAATTAAAACATAGATAGTGATAGTCCTTGAAAAGAGATAGAATCGGGTCCAAATCCTCTCAAATGTTGTAACACTGGTGACAGTAAGGAAGAAAATCAATTAACTTCAAAATGTTAGGGTTTGTTTGCTTTTGCTTTTTTTCAGGTCTCTGGTATTTTTTGATCATTGAAGTTGATTGTCTAAAGAGATTTCGAAGGTTTTATTATTTTTCGTTAGGTGTGTGTGAGTGTAGATATGTAAACGTGAATGCAGTGCCCACCTTGAAGGCCAGAAGAATCTGTTCCCCCTGGAGGTGGTTGTGAACTGCCTGCTGTGGGTACTGGGAACCAGACTCAGGTCCTCTGGGAAAGCACTTCATTTTTACTACTGAGCCATCTCCCCCAACTTCATACAAAGTTAACAAAAATCTTTTCTATTTAAATGTCATGGGGGTGATTGTGGGATTAACACTAATTTTTCTATGTGAGAACTTGAGCTATGTAGACTCTACTACTATGTTAAGCTTGTACAACTGAATAATGATTATACACTATTTATTCTGAAACTCCTGCCAGTCAACTGGTTTCCTGTCTTTAAAGATAGTTGTGTGTGGTCCATCATCAGAATGTAATATGGCTTTGTGCTCCTGTAGAGACCATTCTCTGCCTCATAGGGAAATACTTTACAGCTGTGAGGGAAACTTCCATAAGACTGCCACTTGAGAATTTGTTAAAATCTCTCCGTTTCTTGCACATTTGAGGGCATGCAGATGAAATCCACCACTATGTCTGCAGTTGAGATAGTATCCTTTCAGAAGAATTGGGTGTATCCACGTTTAAAGTGTCACTTCCCGCTCCTTGGGGCTTGTTGGTACCTGCATTGCCAAGTGAAGTGAGGGACAGTGACAAGAAGTGCTGATGAGTCAGTGGGTGACATACTTCCTTCACACTGAGTCAGAGCTGAGAACCCAAAACCCACTAATATTAAACACCATCTCCTTTACTCTCAGATGGGTGGAAAGAAGTGAGTGCCATGCCTTGACTCAGTCAGGCTCCCACTGTGTCACAGGTTCTTGTCTTGGCTCATATTTTACAGGAAAGACTACAAAGCCCCCTCCTCCTTTATCCTTGGTACCTTGTTTCTGCCTCTAACTTCCTATCCCTCGTGACTAATACTCCAATGATGCATGTACCTACTGGAGTTCTGGGTTCCCAGCTTTTCATCACTTTCTCCCCTATCCTGCAACTCTGCTGCCTGTCTATCCTGCTGACTTCAGCAGTACCACCACCACCACCACCACCACCACCACCACCACCACCACCACCACCACCCATCTTGCTGCTTTAAGCTGGAAGAGAACTTACCACTTTGTCAGCTGTTAAGCTGTTACTCTGTATAGCCTACTGTCAACACAGTTCTACTCACCATGTCACTAAATCCACCTCTGGGTACTAGTCACTGTGGGAGCCACTGCAAACCCAATGGGTATTTTTCAAAAAGTTTTACTTATTTGTTGGGTACCAACCATCAGGTGTTCAGGTGTATCAGGTATTCTGGTTGCTGGTGATTTAAATCTGGCATCAGCACTCTGTAGCCTTGTGCTCTGCCTTCTTTCTTTGTAAATAAAGCATTAGTGAAGCAGTCACACTTGTCTCTGCTGTTTCCAGGCTGTCCTGACCAAAGGCAGGAGTCCTGTAGCACACAAAGCCAGGATTTGCTACCTGGGACTCTGGCACTTTATGTTTGCAACAGGCAAAAATATTTAGGCCCAGGCAGGACTAAAAGTATGTAGCCTAGGCTAACTCAGTCTCCTGAGTGCTAGGATGAGCCATCATATGTCTACCTGGCACTTTTCAGAATACGTTTACTGAACCCTGATTTGGACACACTCTGTTTATATCATTATGTAGCTTCCCTGTGGATTAAGAGAGAGATATGTTCTATAACTATTGTGCAGAAAATGACTCTTCAGCATGTCTCTGTGATGTCAGCACACAGCAGGCCCTGACCTTCCTGGGGATGCTTGATGCCTGCAGGTCCCATGGAAAATGTGAAGCACTTAGAAATGCTGACATTGAAATACTGAAGAATGAGTGGATTATACTTTGTAGGAAGTTAAGAAAGTATATATTTGAAAAGAAGTATGTCAGTTGGTAGTAATGAGAGGTGTTAAGAAGTAACCTGAACAGGGAGATTGAAGGACCAGCCAGGTAAAGGAGGGGTCCAAATGGAGCTAAGACAGAGAGTAAGACCAGGAAGAGTGACCAGCGAGACTGTTGAGACAACAAGGACCAGGCAAGGAGCCTTAAAGATGGGGAGGGAGCTAACATGACAGCTACAAACCAGGTGTGATGGAGTGAGGCCCTTTGTCTTTGGTTCCCTCCCTCCACCTGTGGCTGCCTCTTTTCACTGGTACTGCATGACCTCTCCTTCTGTTGAAGTAAGTGTTGGGCTTTTTCAAATGCTCCCAAACACTTTCTCACCTAGGTCATGTGAACCAAAGTCAGCTTCTCCAAGCCTTTTCCTTTGCCACTGACCCATATCTATGGCTTAGACTTAGCTCCCTAAAGAAGTGGGCGTCTGTCTCTCCTCTGCTCCTAAATGTCTTCTTCCCTGATGGCCCAAGTGGGTGATGGAGTAGGGAGGAGGAGCCTTGGCCACAGAGAACCTTCTTGTTTGTGGACTTGACTTGAGACCTCAGGGAGGGGCCTCAGTGAGCACCAGCCGGAAGAATTTCCACTCCAGTGGCCAGGCTTCTGTTGGATTTGTCTGGTTCATACCTACTTTGTGTGGCTTGATGAGAATTCACTGAAGATTCACTGATTTAGCATAGGAAGTATTCAGTAAACGTTGGCAATAGCCAGTGAGACATCAACAACATGCTATGATTCCATCCCTCAGGGAACACATGTAGAGAAGGATGAGGACCCCATTAGAATCACCCTTGTGATGAGCTGTAGTGATCCTTGGGGGCTCATTGTGTCCCTTGGTTGTTCTGGAATAGAGAGATTGTAGTCACTGTGGGCATGTGGGTGGGTCCCACACTGTTAACACCAAATTCTCTCCTAAGAGCCAACCTGGAATAGATTCTACATACCAGGTAGCCTGTGCCCATAGGTGGCCCATAGATACCTGGAAGCTATACATGCTTGTGACTATACTTGTAAACAACCCTTGAAAGGCTTGGGCCTCTCCTCCTCTTTTCCTGGGTAGGAAGCAGGACTAGCATGTCTTAGATACTAAAGTCAAGCCTCCTCCCAGCCAGCAGTGAGTCACCACAATTCTCATCCAAACCCCCAAATTGATTACCTGACTTGGAGGCCTTCAAAGTAGAACACAGACACTGGAATACCTCTGGACTGTGTCTCTGCCACTTGGCTAGCCAGTTATAGTCTATTAACAGTTAAATCCATAATCTGTTCCTTCAACAAAGTAAGGGTTGATGGGACCACCTCCTCATTGTTGGGAAGATTCAAGATAATACTCGTAAAGTGTTTAGCAAAGGGCTGGAGACGTTGGAGATCAGTTAGTGATAGCTATTCTGATACCTTGGTATTTTAATTCTTTATGTCTGTGTGTGTGGAACTGAGGGTTCAGCGGAAGGACTCAGGTTCTAGGCAGGCGTCCTGTGAGTTGTGTCCCCAGTATGCTTGGTCTCTAGGAAAGTAAAGGCAGGAGGATGGGAAGTTGCAGGCCAGCCTGGACTACATAACAAGATCCTCTTGGATGGGGTGTGTGTGTGTGTGCGTGTGTGTGTGTGTGCTTGTGTGTGTGTGTGTGTGCGCAGAACAGGAGTTTTACAGAAAAGAATGGTGTCATGGGGCTTTTAAGTTAATCTAACAGCCCTGTCTACTCTGACCCATTTCTTCGAGGCAACCACTGTTGCCATGGTGTGCAGCTATTTTCTGATCTTCCCTCCAGTTCTCCTCATAGGCTCACATACACTGTGCCCCCTCCTCCCACTACTACCACCAATTTGAGGCATTATCTACTGATTTTCTCTTTAAAATGTGGAAGCTAGCTGTCCTCCCACCTCCTGTCCATTTGTCTTCCCTCCGTTTTGCTATTACAGTTCTGTTGTCGAAGCACAACATGGTGAACATTTAAACACACACCCTCACACTAGGCTAGCTGCCGATTTCCCAGCTCCCATCAATTTAGTTGTTGTGGGCTCACATCAGTGATTTAAGTTCTTTGTGTCTGTATTTGCATATTGGGAGTACACTGTGACGTCTTATGGAGGTGGTTGTGAAAACTGGGTTAAAGCATGTAAACATGGCGTAGAATGGCACATGGTGTACAGTAACCGTCTTAGCAGTCGTTGTTTTATAATAAGCCTGGAAAGCTTAGTTAGACGTTAGGTGAGTGGAGGTAGACTCTAGCCTACTGCTTTTGAGTATTGTGAGACTAGTCTAACAGTGTTTGTACATTGAGGTTTCCGTTGGATGAGATAGCACAGTTGAGATCTGTACCGGATGCTGTGTTCTCACTGAGGACTGTTATTTAGAATTCTGCTGTGAGCATTCTTTGATGTGCCTCATGTGCCTTTGTGAATTTCCAGGGGCATGTGCACAGACACACACAACCCTTGCCTTGACATCACTGTGTTACAAGGCTGTGTATCTTCAGTCTAGTGGATATCTTGAAGCACTGTAGCAGTCTACATCCTCATCCACCAACACCTCTTGGGTGCTTGGATGCCCTT